TGTGTACCTTAGAGTCAGAAGCGACCCAAAGCTGAGCCTCCAATGGGTTTTCAGAGGCAGCTAATCACACGGGAGTAGATTGCCCATCCGTCTCCTGTGGAGCGGCTAGTGACCTCGAACCACATGGCTTTGGGATTGCAGAACAGCTTCTTGCCACTAGGCCACCAGATCTCCTTGTAACATCTTCATTGTTGTTGTTGTTGATTGCCTTCAAGTCGAGCACAACTCATAGCAACAGTATGAACAAAAGGCCTGAAGCCCCTCTACAGCTATCGACATTTATCAAAGTTCATAGAGTTTCCGGAGGCGTGTTGTTTAGGAAGTGGATGTCACTTTGCAAATCATGAAACAACGTATTGGTGGCTGCCCAAATTTTGGAGTCTCTACCTTCAATTGATTTGATTAATTTTTTTCCTCCCCTCTCGCAGGTTGAAGTAATATCCAAGTTGTATTTACCTTCTTGTTTAACTTTCTAGGTCTAATGAGAGAGCGAGAGGAGCTTCAGCTTATTAGTCCCTCAGTGGCATTGGCTCCTCTGTGGTCCCTCACGTAGCATTACCCATTCTGCAGCATGTTGGGAAAGGCACGTTCCCATCCATCCTGGGGTGTAATACACACTGACTGCAATTAAAGAACAGAAGACGTGGAGATCTGTGTCAGAGTAACAGAACAGCGGAACTGGAAGAATTAGGCTGTGTTATTGGAAATTGCTTAACGTTTTCAGTGAGCTCTTTTTTGTCTCTAGTTGTCATATTAGATCAGCAACCCAAGCTTAGTAGAGGGGCATTAAGAACCTAGCTTTTACACCATTTGCGAGAGAGACCTTTTACACATATGCATTTGTGTTTATACTGAAGTTAATATTTTAAAAAATAACATCTACTCTTACAATGCACAATGTATGTTAATGCTTTCTATTTGATTCTATTTAATAAGAAATGAATTTAATGAAATTCACAGTAACTTATACTTTGAATAAACCTGCTTTAAAGAAGGTGACAGTTCCCCCCACCCTCTTTCATTTGGGTCTCTTTAACTTTTAAATGTTGTTGTTGTGTACTGTTGAGTCAGAACCAACCAATAGCTGATCCTTCAGAGAGTTTTCAGAGGCAGTAGCCCATCTTTCTCCTTTGGAGCAGCTTGTGGATTTGAATCATTTGCCTTTGGGTTGGCAACAAAACTCCTTATCCACTAGACCACCAGAGCTCCCGTATTCTGACTTAGTGGTTTTTTTTTCTATAATTATATTTTATTAATTTTCATAAACATTTACAGAGATTTTGGGCTTCCACTCATTCACTGTTGCACTATTC